TCGGCAAAAATGCATATGAAAACTCTTCAGAGACAAATTTCAGTTTTTCTTTGGAGAGGCAATCATCAGCAAAGGAAAGTCATCCCCAGAGGAGCCTGACTCTCACTAATTCAACCTAAAACCAGAGGAGGTTTGGGGGTTTTGAACCCCACTTTTCAATCACAAGCCCTTGCATCTGTCTCTTATACACATCTAGATGTGTATAAGAGACAGCAAATGGGGTTCGCCCTCCTGAACAACCTAGAGTCCATTGGGTCCCTTTGGAGGCACCAATCAGGATACTTGGTGTGGTTTTGACAGCTAAAGGCAAACCTACAAATAATGACGAATGGATAGCTAGGCCGGCTCTTGAAAAAATGAATCAATGGAAGAACCAACACACCTCACTTATTGGAAGAGCCCTATTAATAATAATGTTGTATTAGCTTCAATATGGTACAAATCAGGGCTCTGGTCCATTGGTAAAATGCATATGAAAACTCTTCAAAGACAAATTTCAGCATTTCTTTGGAGCTGTCTCTTATACACATCTAGATGTGTATAAGAGACAGGAGACAGAGAGACAGAGAGACAGAGCAGACGACATGGCCCCCCTGATTTCCCCCCTCCACCCATTCCCCCGCCTCTTAGCCGCAGCGTAGCTGCGGCGGGCCAACTTGTTTTGTTAAATGGAGATTTTAATACCATTTTTATATCTTTTGAAATTTGAACGACATCGAACCCTCTGCGTACTTGGCCCTGAAAAATTCACCGCATTCTCTCCTGAGGGTCCGGTCGACCCCCAACCATGTCTGCGAGACGCAGTTGGATGGGTTCGTGAACATGAGGTGCGGGTAGGATTAGGAATTACTACTTAGACACGTGCAATCCATTTGTGAATCATAAGAGGGGGTCCCAGTCAAGGCAACTCCGTCGTCGCGAGTTTGGAAAACAAAAGAAGAAAGTTAAAAAAAAACATAAAGACTCAGGATCCAACACCATAACAAGAGACTGCCTTCATGGGTCGACCAAGTTCGCATCAAAGAAGTGCGACAAAGTCTTCGAATCATTTGTCCAATGCTTGAATCAAATGCCCCTACTAGTGGGATGATCTAAGTGGATGATCATAAACATAAACTTTGTCGGAAATTGTCCGCCTTCACGCTCTCAAATGAAACAATCCATGGGATCCTATTACTTAGAAAGAACACGTCTTTAGTTATGAAGAGCTTGTAATTTTCATTCAGTATATAATTTGTTCAAAATTCAAACGGTTGTAACCGTTGCATATTATTCGTATGTCCCCGTCTGA